CCAATAACATTAAAAGAAGTGTTTTGGCTATAATTACATCATTGCAATTTTGGCTATGCTGGCTAGGACAGAGGGAAGACACAGGCCAAAACATTCATTAAAACTATTTTAACTTAGATTTAGAAAAATACTGTTAATGGTTTAAAACAGTATTGTCTTGTGCTGGGTACATGCAAATAACAAATAACAAAATGACCCCTAAAATCTCTCCCTCTCCCTCTCTCACACACACAATGATTTTGATGTGGAGATGGTTATTTCCTCACTGCTACTAGGAGTAAAAAACAGCTGTGATCTAGATCATGTTTGCTGGAAGTGAAGTTTTCAACTCACTCCACCACCAGCAGCAACCTTTCCACCTCTTCATCTCAGCCCGCAGGGATCGGAGATGAATGCATGCACACACACGTATGTAGGCATCCATACATCTGTGTGCATCTGTGTGTGAACTCTAAACCAACATCTGACAATGCCTCTTGCACTCATGTCACCTGACAATGCCTCTTGCCAAAAGTATGCTCATTCTTGATATAAACCACGTTCTCTACAATCTGAATTCCTTCCTTCCTCCTCTGTCTGGATAGCCTCATGCACCAAAACTGTGCCAGAGCCCCACTTTGAGAAGGGGACAAAAGAAAGATTCAATCCCACTGTTCAAGTAGCCAAATCCCCTTTTAAATCTGCATTTGCAACTCAAAAAACAACCAGCTAGAGTCAGAAACTGGTGATTCCTATAGTGCTGCTTTTCTCTACCAGCTATCTTCATCTTCTCTGTACTCCTTCCACTAAATCTCAAAGAATCCAATATTTTCAAGGAGTCCAAAATATTCTGCTTCTTTTAACATCAAATTAAAACAGCCCATTATAGTGTTTTGGTGCCCCATCTTCTCATTTTGCCTGCCGCCATCTGTATTAGGAATTGCTCTTTGTTCTCTTTGAGAACTGCAACTTACAAGAAAATTGACCAGATACATAGAGACTCATGTCTCTTAGCTATGAATGTGCACTTGTGCACTTCTAAAAGATTTCTGCCACCACCAACAGCAGAACAGACTATATTATGATATCTGTGCCTATTTCTGGTACTGAAAGAAAAAACTGGGATACCAGTTTTTGGTTGTATCAAAGTGTTGCTTGGATAACAATGGAAAGGTGTCACTGGTCAGGGCATAGATATCATGAAGAGCAACAAAAATATTCTGCCACTCTTACTGAATGGCTTGATAGATGCTATGGGCAATGAATACTGAAATTGGTCTTCGGGGTTCAAGTGACATGACAACAAATAATGGATCCAACAATGCTAGAACAAGCCATACACTGTCAGCCTGGCTTATTGATTGAAATTAAGCCTTTCTGTGGGATGATACAACCCATCATGACTACTTACCCATGATGAATTGCCATGTAATATGAAATCTGTCAGTAGTTTGATAACAGCTGTCTCTTATCTTGTTACCTTATGCAAATATTGAATGCATTATCACATACATTATTATTATTATTATTATTATTATTATTATTTATCCAAATTTACGTCTCATCTTGTTATACTAAGTTACAGGTAGTCTGTAATAAATTTAGAATGGCTTATTGGAAATTGTTCTTAGTATAGTAACCTGCAGATAAATTTATCAAATTCTCCCAAATGATTAGCATATAAATATGGTCCAAACCAAATAGTAAAGTGATATGGAATTAAGGATATACTTAATTTATACTAACTTGGCACTTCAAAGCAGCAGTAGTAGAATTTTCCCAGATCATCAAGTAAATCTTAGCAAATGCAAAATTCTACTGGCAATGACATAAAAGCATATTATTTATGGCTCTTCTAATTCTAAAATTTACAGTCCCATTTGTTTCTCTTGTTCTTCTTAGACAACATATTATAGAACAAAACTCAAAGTACAAATCACTGCCATCAGATTATGCTCCATATTCAGAAACTGAGTAGCTACCAAGTCCTTAAAACAGACACTCATCCCTCTCAGTCGAACTCATGGTGCAATGTGGAGTTATTTATACAATTCACAAAGAGTAGAGAAATGCGTGCACTAACTCTGACCACTCTGCTTATGGCATCTGTGTGGCATGTCTACTATATATGTTGCATTAAGTGATGGTGAAAAAGGTACTTTCCAATATGTGAGGAATAACATTACATAGGAAGAGTTTGTGGCACAGTTATAACGAGCAGCTCCACCTTTCAGAATACAAACACTGGAATACTTTGGTTCCATTTACCCTCATCAATAGATGAGAAGTGAACCAGTTACACTGTTTCAGTGTACTGTTACAACATTGAAGTAAGACTGGTCCAGCAATCTAGATTCAAATTCCTCCTCTACCACTGGTTAATCAGAAGCCAGTCACAACCACTCTGCAGTAACGATCTCACAGGGCTGTTGTGAGGATGAAGTGGGGACAGAAGTCATATACACCATTTCAAGTTTCTTAGAGAAAACACAGACTATACCTGTCATGAAATAATGGATTCTTAACTATAAAATAGGGAGGAGCAGACACCCTCTCAACTCCACTATATTTTCATGGATCCCTTATCCCTCCAATTTGCTGCCAAAATAATAATTATGATGATCCTCATCCAAGCCATTAGTAAAGTCTACTAATGTGTGTGTACAACACACATGCACAATAGTCAACTGACCTGTATGATTAATTTAAAACTGCAATAATATATCCTAGAAATATAAATGATTGAATTCCTCAAAGTTACATAATAAAATAACAATCATTTCTGTTTTAATTATACACAGCCAACTCTGAAATCATACCTTCACTGAACCCATGCAAATACTATGTAGCTAGAAATCCAAAAAATAGTAAGATGTCTTATTTTATAAAGGCTTCCAATTGATTTTAGTTATTATTACATTACACATCATTCACTAAAGTTGACTATGCTTATTTAGTTAGATAGCTAATGTATCCCAGAAGAATAAAAGCTACTTTAATATATCATTTTGGCATAGAACAACTAGAGAGAGCAAAAGAACATTCTGTCAACCTCAGGAAATAGGGGAACTATTAAGAATTATTTAAAGCTTCATAAAACACCAAGAAAATGTGTAGCTGTCAATAAGGGTAGATATTAATCTTTTTCTTTAATGCTTCCCAATGTATTTTGCTTTGGCTTATCAAATATACATGTCCACATAACCAGTGTTGTATAGGTGGTCAAGTGAGTCTGTTAACAAATTAACACCTTAGGGGTCAAAGGGTCTGGTAAGTTTACCAGACTGACAGAACTGTCATGTAAAAAATATGTCATGTGTTTTCACTGACTGTGAATAATCTGGTTTGTGTGAATATTTTATTGTTTCCATATATGTACACTCAGGTGTGTGTCCCATATAGCATCTTACAATGATCAGAAGAGAACGAATGCACACGTTCTGAATTACCTGTAACTGTTTTTGTAGGCTTAAAATAAGCAAGTGAAGAAACTGGCACATGCTACCAAAGGTGGTCAGAAAGATAATTTTAATTTCTGATGCCTAATATAAATGTACTCCTCTGTTTCCATGACACATTAGTGTATTTCCCATGTATCACACAAACCAAATATCTAAACAAATTATTTTCAACGGTATCAGTTTATACTAATATAAGTGAAGAGGTGGCGGGGGGGTGGGGGGAGTAAAATGTTCCATTTAGCAATATTCTTTCTGCAGCTAAGAAAGGCTGACTCATTCAGTCAGCATATCTACACTGAAGTGTGATTATTCCTTCCAAGGAAGGAAAGCCAGAAATGTATAAGATTGAGCTAAATTATTCAGCCCAAGTATTTTGGGGGCAGCATTTCATAGAGGTGGGATATCTCCAAAGACCCAATCATTGCGGGGCAAAATTCTGAAACTTTTTAATGAGTTCCTCTTACCCTTAAAAAGGCATTGGCTACAGGTTTCTTTCTCTTTTATATCAAATAAAAAGGGGGCGAGGCAAGGGCTTAGCACTGTTTCGAGAAATGTCTTGGATGTTTGTAGCTTGGGGATTTTGCAGCACCATTCACTGGGCGCACTTTGATTTCAGGAATGCCACCAGGCTGCTGCAGGCAACGAAGGCACTTGAAACATCTTTCGTGTAGTCAAAAAGAGAAACAGAAAATCCAAACCTTTAGCCACCTCATATATTAAAAGGTGAGACCACTGCAAAAGACCTTAAAATTTAACACATCCCCAATGCTGCTGAAAAGCTCCCACTTATTTGGATAAATGACCCTCTTAAAACTATTTCTGAGAGAGGGCTATGTATCTTTTCCACTACATTTTCAAGACCTTTAGGTCAGCATTCAGTTGATGGAATATACTTTGATCTAGCAGAGGCTTCCATCAGAGGAATAGGAAAGGAGGCAATTTTCTGCAATCCACCCTCCTCTTTGCAGCAGCTTTGCTGCTCTGAGGCTGTCCGAACCTTCCAGAGTAAACCAGAAACTACTATGAAAAGAGAAATCCACCAAAATTACCTCTCTTCTCCTTGTTCTGCTGAAAGCTTCTCTGAATTGTTTATTTATTAGCCTTATATTCTCCTTTCTCCTTACAATGAACTAAAAGTGGCTTACATTAGTCTCCCCTTGCTGCTCTCAATCTTATCTCTACAACAACAACCCTGTGAGGTAGGCTGGTCTGAGAGTTTGTGGCTGGCCAAAGTCACCAGTTGTCTCCATGGTCAAGCAGGGTCTAGAATCCAGATCGCTCGAGTCCCAGTCCCACACTCTTAACCACTACACCACATTGGCTCTCACTGAATTAAAAAAGCATTCTGTCAGAGGAGTGACACCAATGGGGTACAATGTTTACACAGAAACAATTCCAAGGTTTGATGAGAAGTTATAACAGGTTAAAGGCTGATCTGAGTAATGCAATGAGTGCTTTGTAATGGATTGTTTTTTAAACCAGTCAACCAGCTTGTCAATTGAGAAAATATTTTCCTTTTTATTTATGAAAATAATGGAAATGCCATATTAAGGTACATACCTGTGCATTGTCCTCCATTAGTGGGGTCTCCATAATATCCTGGCATGCAGGTTTCACACTGTTTCCCTGTAGTTAGGTTTTTGCACTGATCACAAACATTGCCACTGACACAAGTACTATGTCCATTGCACTGACAAGCTGCAATTAAGAAAAAAGTTGTCATAACTGGGCTGTAGTTCTTTTGGAGAAAGACACCAAGAACAAAAGGATAGTCATTCCTATAAAACATTGCAGAAATTTATGATTCTTATTAACCACATCATAGAAATTTGTGATTAGTATTTCACAATCAGCATAATTGCCTACATAAAGAACTCATGAAGAACAATAAAGAATACAGTGGTTATATCAAAGCATGCGTTAGTTTCTGTTCATCCAGCTAGTAAATATGGATAGATAGAATGTCATCTCCACTCCCAGAGAGGCTGAAGCCCAAGGCTCCAAGTAGTGGGACCAGCTTAATGGCAGCAAACAGTTCTTGACAGTTTTAAGTATTCTCCTTTCAAAAGGCTACAAGTTTTGTTGTGCTCTTAGCTTAGTCCATTATCATGTTTAACAGCTCTCTTCCTGTTTTCCATATATTGTATTGCTCATCTGAAAATCATTCTCATTCATTAATATCAGGCTGGAATAAGCTGGGTTGTGTACTTTCTCAATTCCATCACTGACTACTCTGTGTTTACTTCATGGCATAAATTAAATGCACACCAACTGAAACAGAATACAGGATTTATTTTAATCCCACCCTGACACATTTCTAATAATGCCTTTACCCCACCCAATTCAGTTATATGAGAAATATTAACCAATAATGCACTTGAACATAACTTTATGCTGAGCACCATCTTCACAGTTGTCAATGTCATTGTTATTACAATTTTGTGCACATTCTGATCTTGCCCTTGACACTTCATTATCATTGCTTACCCTGAGAACAACTTTGATCAAAGACCCATCAGATCCTTTAATATCTTTCTCATTGTTATTAGTCACACAGTACTAATATGCATAGTGAATAGGAAATATTTTATTTCCCCAATCCAGTACCTTGATAAGTGAAGTGTAGTTAAAAAGCATTTATTAAACATATTATCCCTCAAAGCTTGTATAATAATCAAAGGTTAATAAGAGATCATTCTCTCTGGTTTTATATAAGCAGGTGTTAACATTATTCTCTTCATCATGAAATATTGCTACATTGTTTTGATGGTGCATCCATTGTTTATCCTTTCTTGAATTATAACTTGTAATGCTGATTAACTGAAGATTGTTGTGTAATTTAATAAATGTGATACTGCTCAGAAATAAAGGGACAGTTAACTTGGCAGTTATTCATTTTGATTTTGTTTTAGTATCCATTACAAATCTCAAAGTGCTATCACACCAATCAATCATGAGCAAATATTGCAGACAAAAAGAGGGGGCATTTATTAAACATCTCAAACTGCTCACTGAACCACCTCCCTGCCTCTTGCTTATCATCGTTTCCCTCTTTGCTGTTGTATACTACTGGCTCTTTAGTGACTTTTATTTTAATAAAATGCTCATTGCTGACACTAAACAATCAAGGATCATAAGACATTTTTAGCTATTTGAACTGTCCTTGTGAGATCCATGTTACAGGAAAAAGCATTTTCATAGCAAAGAGTTTTGCCTCTATTCTCAATGGGTGTCAGGGAAGAAACGTAGCTGTTTTTGGTCCCTAAACTCAGTTAGTTAAAAAGTGGTAACTGTTTTCATAGAGGATGTAGGTATTTATGCGAAGAGCTCTGTTTCAGCTCTGCCCTAGAATCATAGAATCACAGAATCATAGAACAGTAGAGTTGGAAGGGGCTAGAAGGCCATTGGGTCCAACCTCCTGCTATTGCAGGACACTGAGTTATGCCATCCCATTCAGAAGACTGTCCAGACACTTTTTGAATGTCTCCAGTGAGGGAGAGCCCTAATTGCTTCTTATTCTAATACTGTACGTGAGATCTCTTAGAGAGGGAAAACAGGTAAGTTCATGACTAATATTGCTCCATATCATTCTGCTTTGGTAGCTTTGGCCAGAATACATTTTAGGAGGATGGTTAAAGTCTACCTGTTCCTTCAGGCCTTTGGGGATGTTGAATATATTATTGTACTGCTGTTGGTGCTTTAAAAGAGAATATTTATTCTGATTTTTAAAGTACAGCAGTTTTCACTGGTGCTTCTCTGTATTGTGCATTCCCCAGGTGTTTGGATAAGAAAGTGTGTGGTTTATAAATAAATACGTTTAGAAATAAAATAAAAAATTAAAACTGGTGTAGAGCTCAAACTTCTTCGGAATATTAATTGTGTTGATATTTGGTTATGGGAATTCACTGGCACAGATGCTGAAGTGAGATGAAATTGTAAACTCAAGATGTTTAATCATTTGAGAGTCAGGAGTGGTGTTGATTGTAAATGTTTAAAGATGTGATGTTCCAGAACTACTATGCAAGCTTATTAATTCTGCAATGAAAAACTGTCTGTTTTGTCTAGTTGAGATATCTACAGTGTTCCAATCATGAATTAGATACAAATTAAAGTAGTTGAATAAACTTAAGCGGGTTTCACAGAAATCTACTCTAGAATTTAACTAGTTTGCCTCTCTGCTTTTTCCTTTTTTTCTGTTAACTACTTATTACAGCCTGTTTCTCCTGGTTTCATTCATCAGAAAGCAGCAGATTATTAAATTCAGATTGGAACCTGAAAACATGGTGTTTTTATATATATGGTATCTTTCTATGCAAGGTAGTTCAATCCAGTGCACATGCTAATAATTTAGGGCATTTTATCTACCTCTTGAGCTTTGATGGTATTAAACACTATGAGATTTCCAAAACATTTTTGATTCACCACTGTGACCCTAAACAACAGAACTCCTTGAAGACAACATTCACAATGTTTTGGCCTCAACTTATTCAGTATCTACATTTATTTTGAAGCCTTAGAATGTTTGCATATCACCTTTGTATTTCACATATCTCTGCAGGCCAGATATAAAAACCCTTCTTTCATTTATATAATCATTTATGATGAAATTAAAAAAGAAGATACCATCACGCCCCTGTGGTATAGAAGTGAGAGTTTTGACAGGGAATGAGGAGACCTCAGTTTAAATCCCCCATTGGTAATGAAGCTCACTGGGTGAATTATGGAGCATTATTCTGCAGACAAAATCATGGAGGAAGATTATATAAAATGCCTTGGAATCCTTAGAAGAAAAAGCAGGATATAAATGAAACAAACAAAACCCCTCCTTTTTGTAATTTGTGAAGATCAAGTTTTCCACAATCTTGAGACATACTTGGCAATTTCCAGCCATATCACTGATATTACATTCTGAGCAAGTGATTTGGCTGGCTTGTAATTAAATATATTGTGTGTGAAAGGAGTCACAAGAATGACTGAGAAACATGTTTGTTCTGTTCTGTTTTGAAAGAAAGCTGAATTTTTAGAGATACTTTAAAACCAAACTAACACTTTAAGTTTGAAGCTATCAATTTCTTGGAAACATGCCATTAACCGTTCTATTACTTTATTAGTTATAGCCAAGGGAACAACAAAAAGCATAACATTGTGATCCTACCTGGACACTGGATAAAGGACCATTCATAATTTTTCTCTTTGGGGCAAAGATTGTTGTCTAGAGCCATTTCTGTAGAATGCACCCCGCTAAACTTCACTGGCCCCCTTGAAGATCCTTCCACACAATGGCCTTTGCCTGTGTTACTGGGATCATTGCACCATCCACATCCTGGGTGCTCCAGACACTGCCCACAAGTCCTCAAGCCAGAGCAGTTTTGAGCTGTAACACAGAGATTATAATCAACAGTCTTTGGAACCTGACGTGCAATAAGAGGTTTTAGCTAATGGCATAAAACAGTTTAGTACAAGATAACTTTTGTACAATATTCACATTGCCTTCATGTAAATTATTACAGAAAAATCCCATGGATAAAATATTAAAACTATAATTTTCCAAGCAATAGTTCTGCTAACTCCCTCTGGGGTGCATGTTCATCAGATATTTATAATAAATTTCACATTTGAGATACGTGTATCCCACTTTAGGAAGTGTATGGCCTGGGAATATACAATAAAAACATGAAAATAATTTCACAACTAACATCAGCTGAAGTGCAAGAGGAAATAAAAAGCAGTACAGCAAGAATGCTCCATAAATCCAAGTTAAATTCTACTAAAAAATTGGGGATATAAAGTTGGGCCTAAGAAAAAATAAAGTAGGTGCCATAAAACAAGTCTATGAAAGACACCCCATAAGTATACACATCTTTTTAATGCTTTTAGTGCTACTTTGCTCTGGAGGACTGACAGTCTGAGGACCCAAATAACAGTTTTGTCTTTAGCTATTCCAGATTTTTCCCCCTTTTTGGAGAATGTGGCACATGACCCCCAACACAGTTCTCTGTGTATGAATGGCTAAATGGAATCATTGACCCAATAATTTGTCTAAACAATGGTTCCATATAATGAGATAAAACATAGGTAATACAATGAGTTTTTATTCTGTCTGAAAACACTTGTGGGTGGCCACTGGGATCTTGTTGGAATCCTGAGCTCTCATTTTACAAAACAATGCCAGAAAAAAGTTTGTTGAAAGTCTCTGCCAACTAGAATTCCTGTAGCAGAAGTGATTTTGCTTAATTGTCAAAACTCTTGATTTTTCAAGGCCACCTTATAATTTTAGACTGCAATGCAACACAAACTTACCCAGGAGCAATTCCCACTAAATTCAATAATATTTGCTTTTGAGAAGCCATCCACTTAATTGTGCTTTAAGGAACTGGCGGTATTTTGAACATAGAGGCTTGGAATATCAGTTTCCAAGCTCCCTTAACACATTTCCAAATATATTTATCAAGAGTTAAGTCAGATTGTGTTTTGTCGGGCTTACTCGTCCAACAAGACAACAAAGAATTGCCGCCTTTGTCACTCCATGGGTAGAATATATCCTTCAGGAGCTATGAATTTCATCTACTTCCTGATTTCATTGGATTTCTTGCCCTATGAAAATTGAAGTATCATGTAAGGTGAAGGATTTTGAGATGAAGTTCTCAACAGCGTATTTCCTTTGGTGAAGCCTGTTTACTATTAGTGTTTATGGAAGAAAGCAAAGATGCCCACCATTCTTATAATATTACCTGCAGCACTATGGAAGAATCACAGATGTATGAACTCTATTTTTTGTCTCAAACTATATCCAACATTTCACATCATATAATCATTATTAAATGGCCACAGATAACCCTTCAATTGCAAGATATAAATGTAGCCCTTCTTTCCTCCTACTGAAGAAGAGGCTCCAGTCTCTAGCAAGAGTTGTTCACACATAACAACATATCCTTGCCTAACAAATCTTATCTGGAGGCTAAGAATGATTTTGATAAACCAGGCACCACCAGAAAAGGTTAGCCAAAACTTAACCAAATGCTAGGGGCAGAGTACAATGTATATGGTATGCACACAGCCAAAATTTGCTAGCTGTAAAAGCAGTTTTCTGATATAAATAAAAAAGAAAGCAAAGGAATGACTCTGGGATTTGAATAATGTGCAATTCTTAATTACACAGTTTGGGAACAGGGTTCTGCACAAAGTGGATTCTACACCTGTCTCTTTCATTAGCTTGATCTCATCTTTTAAAAGGTGATGGTGGCTCACTGACCAGCCACACAAACAAGCTAAATAACTTCATAGAATTCTCTCCCCCCCAGATCAGGTGGGTATCATGCTATGAAGACAGATCAGATCCAGTAAAGAAAAATACTGAATTTTATCCATTGTAGTTAAACCAATTACAAATATTAGCCATTGTGACCCTAGATGCATACAAGGCTTTTGACAATTTGGTGCAGCCCAGTTTAATTAAACTGTTGGAAAAGTTCCATTAAGTAGGAAAGCAGTTCACCAGCACTGCTGCACTTCTATATTTTAAAAAGCCAAACAAAAAAGAAATGTATAGCCACAGTGGAACTACAAATGACTCAGGAAAAAAATTTGAAATCAAGATGCTAGAAACCAATTATGAGAAACAGAATTTATCTATTTGTAGATTATATAGAGACCTGATCATCAATCCCCCTGTGAAATTAACCCCAGCACTTAGAAAGGAAATCCTTGAACATAGAGCAGAAATAGGTATAAAAATAAACTACTCAAATCTGAAATATTATAAATACAGTCCTTAAAATCTCAAAATGGTTACCAAATCCCCCCCCCTTCAGATATACCCTTCTACAAATATTTTAGGTATCTAGGCATACCACCTTTGCTTCACTCTAAATGAATTACAGAAACTAAATAATAAGCCTAAAAAATGAAAGAAGAAATTAAGCACTGAACCAAATTGAGAAGCAAAATGGCAGTGCTAAAACTATATCCTATTTGGCAAAAGGCCAAACATTTCAAAGGGCTTTCATTCATAGGGTCACCATATGTCAAAGACAACTTGATGGCACATAATCACAGTAGTAGATTCTCATTGAATCAATGGAGAACTTATACTTGCAAGGGAGAAGAACACCTGGACTGAAAAAAGAGCATAGGGATGAAAAAAAGAGCATAGGGATGAAAAATATTATGACAAAGGAAGCCCTCAGAATCAATTTTAATTTACATTTGTTTATACTATTGCAAAATGCTCTCTGTGACACTAACTCAGAACAGTTCCTAGAAACTTCAGCTTGAGCCATGTTACACCTGTTGTGAAATTGCTTTCTGGGTTTGCACATTTAAATGTCTGAACAGCATTAGACCTGATATCACAGAGTATACATGTCTCACTATGAAACTGGTCAGGTATTAAGATCTTTAGGGAAGTCCCTTATGAAGGCACCATTACCTGCAGAGGCCCATTTGCTGGGTACACATGAAAGGGCTTTCTTCTATGTTGCCCCCAAATTGTGACATGTGTTCTCTAAAGAACTACAATTACCCAAAATTCCTTGGCTTGTACGTACAAATGGTCCAAAGACCATTTTCCCCCAAACAGTACAATTATGATGTATTCAGAATTGTTTTTATTATTTTAATGTATATTGTTTTAAATCGTATACCACATTGAGGACTTCTCATGATAATAAGTAAATATGGAAAAGCTACTTTAAAGCAATACTACCATTTCAAAAAAGTCTACAGGTGTTAGAACACTGAAAGTGCTGTTACAGATTAGACACACTACTTTAGTCAGGTGATAATTTCTATTCAAGAATATTCTATATAATCAGATGTATTGGTATTCCAAGCAACCTTTCAGTTTCATGGAGGAAAATGGATTACTGCCAAGAAATATTCAGTTAGCACCTTGGTTTTCTTTCTCAAGAAGTGAATACTATACAGCATCAGGAATTTTTTAAAATGCATTTATATAATAGCAGGACAGGATGTTGCTATTCTAAATTCTATAGTTTATTATTTCTGCATAATGGTTTAGCATCCCTGCTGTTCTGGAGGGCATTGTGTTCCCTTAAAGTCAATAATGGCAAGCTAAATCCAGAGTCAACAACCGTAATGTTGCTCTGACAGAAATTGCAAATTCTAGTGCACTTTCAAAGTGCACGTGAATATGAAAACTTAAGCTTTATTTTCAAAGGGACGTGTGCTGTGCTACTCAATATTACAAAATCATTTCTGCAAAATAACAAGCTGGTATAAGCCGCCCTGAGGCTTTCTGTGATGGGGGCGGCATAAAAATGCTATAAATAAATAAATAATAAGGCAACCAACAGAAAATACTTAATCAGAAATGGAACAAACTAAAGTGGAGAGCTCCAAAACACAAATGTCCATGTAAATGCCACCATTTAGTTCTTTACATTGAATAGTTATAGTCAGTTTATTATATACTGAATTTTCGACAGGTATATTGTGCTCAAAGCAATTAACAGAAAATAAAGTGACAAGAAATCTAAATACCAAAACAGCACATTTCACTGATCCTAATAGCCATACAACATCATATAAATATAAATACATAACACTATAATATTGATAGTTTGTGCATGAAGGCTTACAACTACTCATTCCACCACTACTGCTACTACCTTTAAAAAAACAAGATCAATCTATAGAATAAGACAGGTGCACAGTCAACTTTGGAATATGAAGAATAGTTAATAACTGGTAACACAATTGGAGGAAAGGGATCTGCATATGCAGAACACAAAGGAAGCAAAATAAACAGCAGAAACTCACAGGCTTTCCTAAGCATTTCCTCCCTTCCTGCATCTTGTCCCTTACATCCAAAAAAGAACAGAGGATAATATCAAGAAAAGACCGAAGGGGGACATGGTATCATTATATAAGTACCTCAAAAGTGGTGAAAGTGGAGTAGTGCCAGTTAAAATTGGAAGGAAAGAATAACACAGGTAAAAAAATAGATGTGTCCTTTCCTGTGTTTATAAGTCAAGCATAAGCTTATCTTCCCAGTTGCAAAGCCTGAAACAGCAACAAAGAACAAAGATAATTTCCTGGTAGACTAAATGAATGAAGGCACAACTCTACAGATAGCACCACCAATGCCTGTAACTCTGAGACTTTTGAGCAGTTGGTTCTGAGCCAGGGAAAGTGACAGCTGTGGTCCCTACATTCCTGCTTCTCCCACTCTCTAATTCAGCCAGACTGCTGACTTTGACCATCTAGCTGTGGCACTCTAAAGGAAGAGCAAAGGATGCTTAAGTGCCATCAGGATATCTTGTATTCTGGAGACACTGATTCCCCTCCCTCTCCAACAGCAGTGTTCCAGCCTCTGCAAAACAGCTGGCATGGTTCTTTCCACACCAGCTGCAA